CAGGGAGTGCTCCAGAGACCAGAGCTCCACTGACAATATCTGAGCAGGGGAATTCCCTTTCCCAGGAGCTCAGTGGACATGGTAATGGTGTAGCAAAACCCAGGGGACCTCACTGAATCAGACGGGAGCCACCCATGTCTGTGCTGCGTCAAAACTTGTAGTTGCCCCAAGTTTTGAGCAGGTCTGTCCTTGTAAAACACATGGGTCCTTCTTGCTTGCTTATCTTCACAGTTTCCAAAGTATTCGTCCACAATTGCAGAAGGAGCCAATCTGCTGGTGGGTTTGCTTGTGTGTTTCTCTCGTGGAAGGCTTCTGGGGATGTGCGTGTGAACCGGTCACTCATGGAGGAAAAGCTTCCTCCTGTAAAATCTGCTCAAGAAGCTGGGCTCTCTAGCTTGGTTTGCAGCTGGCTCTTGGGAGGAAGTGTTGTACTCCAGGCAAAGCTGCCTAGTAAAAAGTGTTTTCCATATTCTTGACCTCAGTTCAGGGGTGAGTCTTCCTGTTCTCTCAGGGGTAGGATGGCATCTTTCTGTGTTGCTTTTTGAGGGCTCCGGATTAAATTTTGAATCCAAATTAGGGCCCGGTAACAAATACTCAATTCCCGTCTGGACAGTAAAGCCTAGTGGTTGGGAACCAGCTAGCGGGGGATTCACAGTGAAGTTGCTCTATAAAGAGCAGATCTGTCTAAATGGCTTCAGTCACTTTACTGCAAGCAACTCTTCATAGTCATTTCTTGACTGCCCTGTCTACAAACATACAGGTGAGACCCTGTAGAGTGAACCTTAGCTGCTGTTGTGCACTAGGAATCACACCCACAACAGTGGCATCTCCCCACTTCTCAGTCCAGAGTGCTCTAAGAATGGGGCTTGGATTACGATGTCTGACAAGCTGTAACAGTACATTCAGCTGTACAACGGCCAGGTAAACAGCTGGCTGGACAAACGAACCAGGTGTGCGCCGAGGTATTAGTTCTGTAGTTTTTATTCTGCTAATCTGCAAACATTCTGCCCTTTAGTGGGTCTGTTCACTTGCAGGTTAGCAGGTTTCTGCTGTATTCATGCAGTTACGGAGCTGCACTGCACTTAGTCTATGCACTGGCTCCCTGCCGTGCCTCAGAAGCGTTGTCTTCTATAACTAAACAGACGTTTCATGTAGCCTCTGAGGTGTATTGTAGATATGACAACAGGCCCTCTTTAAACGCATTCCTACAATGAGCTCTCAGGCCCATTCCCCTTCAGCACAGTCACCACAGTTCGGCCCTTTCAGGGTCTGTCTATGCTGCATGCTTAGCCTGGGTCTGTGGGACCCAGGCGTATGTACTAGGTGTTTCCAAGCCAGTTGTTGAGCATTCACGCTGCATTGCAAGCCTGGGTTTACAGCTAGTGGACCTGGGAGTCTCAGCCGTGCTAAGGGTCCATACTGCACTACTCAGATCTTCTGACTAGGATCTGCGGCTTGACGTGTGTCCACCCTGCAAAATGACAAGGCTTGGACCTAAGTCCCAGCAGCCCTTGAGCTCTGACCCACCCCCCAGCATGGTCTTAGGACCTGGCCCCTGAATGCTTGCTGATCTGCATCAGACTGATTTGTGTGTGGACAGAAGTAGGGCTTGAGCTTAGTGTGCAGTGTAGACATACCCTCAGAGGGCAGGCTCTGCACCGCCTTTCCCTCTTCTTTGTGCTCCTCCGCTGCCCCAGTGATCACTAACTGCCCTTGCTTTGCACGATAGGAACATGCATTATGCTAAGCACCACCAGACTATTTCTGATGTGGTTATCGCATATCTGATCATCTGGCGGGCTGCCATCATGTCTGCTGTTGATCCCCCTCTGCTGCCTTCTTGTTCATGGAAAGAGCCAGCAAACACCATCATTCGTGCTAAATGGAGTCTGGGGGAGGGGTTGCTCTGTTTTTCACTCCCTTCCCTACTTGAAAAGGACAGCGCGCAGGCAAGCACAATCCAGTTGCCAACTCAGAAGAGCAACATGTAATGTTCTACCCGTACTCCAGCTGGGAGCTGTGTGGCAATTCTCTTTATGCAGTCAGTAGACTCCCCCAAAGGCTGAGTGACCACCTCCCTCCACACACTTGCTGGGCCAGAATCCTTGTGTTTATCTTTTCCCTTCTTCCCAGAGCTGTGCCCAATACCAGCTGATGGTGGAAGGTCGCTGTCTACACTTAAATTGCAACAGTGGCACAGTTGTAGTGCTTCAGTGTAGCCACTCCCTACAGCCACAGTGGCTATAGTGTTAAACCACTGCCCCGAGAGAGTTTTTCTGTCAACCTCCCACTGTCTGCACCGAGGGGGGTGGAGGGTTAATAGGCTTAACTATGTAGCTGGGGGTGTGTGGATTTTTTCACACTCCTGCTGACATAGCTGGGTAAACATAACTGTTTAGTGTAGACCTGGCCTTAGTCTTTATGTTTTCTGTGCAGGGGCTAAGTTTGACTGGCTGACGTTTCATCGACTGAATGGCCCACTTCCTTTTAAAAGACACAAGGAAAAATCTCAACCGGCTTTTCATAGCTGCGAAGGCCAGAAGGACTGTTATAACCTAGTCTGAGCTCCTGCATGACCAGGGCCGGCTCTTGCTGCCCCCTGCCTCCCCCCCCCCCCCAGCTGGGAGGGCGGCGAGCCTGGCCGCGGCCCTGCTCTCCCCGGCCGGCTGGAGCGCCGGGGGGGAGGGCGGCGAGCCTGGCCGCGGCCCTGCTCTCCCCGGCCGGCTGGAGCGCCGGGGGGGAGGGCGGCGAGCCCGGCCGCGGCCCTGATCTCCCCGGGTGAGCGCTGCCCCACTCCAGGTGCTGCCCCACTCCAGGTGCTGCCCCAAGCACATGCTTGGAGGGCTGGTGCCTGGAGCTGGCCCTGTGCATGACACAGGCCAGAGAGCCTCATCCAGTCTTCCCGCTACCCGCAGGGGAACCTGTTGGATTTTTCCAGCCTGATCCCCAGCCTGGTTTGTGTCTAGGACCGGTGGCAGTCCAGTGAAGACAGTCCAGGCCTGTTACTGGAGCAGATAATCCTGCTGGTGGGGTCGGGCCCGAGCTCTTGTTGTCAGTGACTGTTTCAGTGGCACTCTAGCTCCCTGCAGAGCGGGAAAAGTGTAGTTTCCTGTGGCTTGGTGGTCGTGGGTAGCCGCTGAAGAGACCAGCTTGTAGAATTGTCGCTGTTGTTTCTCAGAGCTGCAGGAATTCTGCTGGTCACATATTAAAGAACTGTGACCACTCCTAGACATCAGTGATACCAGGACAGGAGGAGAGACTGGCTCCCTACTAGATGCCACATGCTACCCTATACGGGGAGTAAATACTGCCCTCCCACTGTTCCAGGTCAGTCTCCTCTGGCCGTGGCTGGTGGGAGAGCTCCTGTCTTGCTTCTGCATTGCTCTCTTGCTCCTTGGGGTGTGGTGCCACCGCGCACCCGCTTGCACCAGGTGAATTGCATGGATTGGGGCTCCGGCATCTGCACTGAGATACTCCAGTCCTTTGCTCAGTGGATAACCCCTTCCTCCCCACTCATGATGCACAACCAGATCTTGCTTTGAAGCTGGCTTCTTCAGACTGAACAAGAAGCTTACATACCTCACAGGGTCCTGCCTTTCCCAGAATCCCTTGCTATCCAACCTGCTTTCTGGTGGAAATCAGAGCCAGACTGTACTAGGCCTGAAGCTTCCCTTAAAGGGTCAGCATCCTATTAAAGTCCCCTCCGCTCTCCTTCCCAAGCCCCTATCTGTAGCTGAAGCAGCACAAGTCTCCGATCACTCTGACAAATGGTTTTCCCTTTGTGGGATATGGATGCAGCCTGTATTCCTACATCCTCCTCCACAGGTGACCGGGGCCAGCCAACGGACTCTGAGTCCACCTCTGAAAGGCACAGCTGTGCTGCCTCCTTGCAGAGAACAGGCTGGAGGCTTGTCCCCCTTTGCTAGCTTGTGTGTCCCTTCTTGGGGGTCCTGGCCCCCTGTGTTCCGAGGCAGTGGAAGGTAGGTCTGCTCGCAGTTACTAAGTAGCATTTGGATTGCAATGATGGTGGCGAGGGTCGCTTTCTGTGCAAGAAACATCATTGATTCTTGGCCCTCCTGTACCAGGCTGTGCGTCAGGAAGCTCCTGGCTTTCGGGGATGTGCTCAGGCAATAGGAAGTGGGTGTGGATTTTGATGTCCTTGATAGAACAGATTACAGCTAAGAGGCCTGTCTGCTATCTGAAACCACTAAGGCTAGGTCTACACTACCCGCCTGAATCGGCGGGTAGAAATCGACCTCTCGGGGATCGATTTATCGCGTCCCGTCGGGACGCGACAATCGATCCCCGAATCGACGCTCTTACTCCACCAGCGGAGGTGGGAGTAAGCGCTGTCGACAGGAAGCCGCAGAAGTCGATTTTGCCGCCGTCCTCACAGCGGGGTAAGTCGGCTGCGATACTTCGAATTCAGCTACGCTATTCACGTAGCTGAATTTGTGTATCTTAAATCGACTCCTCCCTGTAGTGTAGATGTACCCTAAGATACCAAGGCCTGCTCCTTTAAAGTATGGGCCTCTCCCGGTGCCTGGCCAAAACTCCCTACCTCTGCTACTGGGCAACATGCTGTGCACAGTTTCTGCTTGGCTGGCTGCCCTGTAGTCCAGGGGAGGCTGAGTTCCAGTGGTGCAATAAGCAGGTCGCTTGCGAAGGATCCTCTGTGATAAAGGTGGTGTGTGAATGTAAGCCCCGTCTCCCGAACAGTATGTGGGGATCTTACGTTACTGTCACAAAACTTTGGCTGAAATTTCAGATTTTAAGCATAAAGGGGAGTAAAATTAGAGAGATTCTGCTCTTAAAAAGGATTGTGTTGCGTACTAATTAGTACGTGCAGTTAAGTGTTGTAAGTATCCATCCATTTCCTTCTCCTGCATGGCCCTGCGCTCGTTGAAATCCATGCTAGCGGATTGCAGCAATAGTCCCAAGTATGGAGACTGAGAAGCTGTGATGCATGTTAATCACTTATTTCCCTCCTCTGATTTTAGTGGTACTTCACGCCCCACCTCCGACAAAGATCAAGCGGGAACTCCACAGCCCTTCCTCTGAGCTGTCATCCTGTAGCCGTGACCAGAGTCTCTGTGCTAACTATGGAGACAAGTGCCTCTACAACTATTGGTAGGTAGAACTGAGATTCATCCCCAGGACCGCAGAAGGTGGTGGTGGCCTGGAGACTGGAAGGCATGGAAACCAGATGCTGGAGAATCCATCTGAGACTGATGTTATCACCTCTGTGTTGCTAATGAAAACCCCTCCAGGCTTAGTTGGAAGGGAGATTTGAAAGCGCATTCACTTTGAGAGCTAGCTTCTTACTGATTAAATTCCTGAGCTCATGGAAGTGAGGGCAGTTCCAGGCTGCACAGAGCATCTAACTTCCTTGTGTTTCCATGAGCACTGTTTGCAATTGCTGATTTAAGCCATAAAAACAACTCTAAATACGCAAATGGGCAGGATTGGCTTCTGAGAGAGGTTTCTTTAGGGCTCTTGTATGTTAACACGCACCAAGGCAGTTGTTTAGACATCCAAAGGTTTCCAGGAATCCTGGACAGCACTGTGCGTGCAGGCTCCTTCAGAATGCTCATTTCCCTGGAAACGAAATCTACACGGCTCTCTAACGCATAGTGCCATCTAACTGCTAGTGAGTACTAGGTGATGCTCAGCTGCATGTTAACTACTAGTATCGATTAGCAGAGGTTGGTCCATCAAACAGATCACAGCTAACTCCTGCAAAACTCACCGAAAAGAGACCTGGGGCGGGGGGGGGGGGGGGAATACGACAAGTTATTCTCTTACTTTTCATGAGTGGAAGCTAAAATTATCTTTGAGGAAAACGTGTGGCAAGTGTTAAAGCAGGCCCCTGTGACGCAGCCTGTCTGTCACTCTTGTGAAGTACAAAGATTCCCTTGGGGCTGCTAGCGGATCGGGCTGTGTTAGTGCTGTCACTGCCTGACAACCAGGAATGCAAACAAGTCTGGGTTGTTCTGAGCAGTGGGTGAAGCCGCGTCAATGCTGTACTCACTACATCGTGGTCCTCTCCATCTTCTGTTCACAGTGCCTATGACAGGAAGCCCCCTGCTGGGTTCAAGCCATTAACCCCGCCTGCCACCCCCGTGTCCTCTGCCCAGCAGAGTTCCTCGCTTCCTCACCCTCCACCTGCTGCGTCCGTGCAGGCCGCTGCCCATGTTGCCCCAGCAGGCGCGCTGCGGGGGGCTCCCCAGGCGTCGGCCCCGCATGCTCTCCAGGAGCCAAGGCAGCAAACGTTCGCTGTGCCCCGGCCACCTCATCAGCCCATGCACATGCCTAAGATGATGCCTGAAAACCAGTATCCAGCAGAGCACAGGTAATGAGCCAGGTTTGCTTTATCACACGGCGCATGCAAGACGCAGCAAGAAGCCGGGTGTCTTGTGTTCTGAATGCTCTTTCCTCATTGGTTTTGCTCGTTTGACCAGAGATGACATGCGGGGTCACATGCCTCTTCTCCCTCCCCTCGATAACACTGCTGAAGCCTGCTGTCCTCATGTTCTCCCGCCCCCCCCCCCCCCCAACCCTGGCAGGGATGGGTTGTCTCTTGGTCTCACACCATGTGTTGGGCAGAGGAAATACAGTTTTCTATGGGACGCTGCAGTACCTGTGGCGTAGTTGCTAACATTCCTTCTCCAGTCCTGGAACCCCAGGATTATTGTAAGCTGGGGTGGCTGGCTTGTAACAGCACACTTGTCAAGGTATATCGCCTATTTCAATGTCGAACATTAGGCAACTTTCTCCCCTTTTCCCTCTCCTAACAGAGAGTGAGCCTGGGGCCTGCCTTGTCCTCCCAAAGGGAAAACAGGGTTATCTCTGACTCCAATACAACAGCTCGCTTCTGGAACGCCTTCCTTTGGCTTCACAGAACACTAGAGAATACTGTCTGGGATCTATGTCTTAGATCTATGCCTAGAGGGCTCTTCTGGCAGTCTGCTCCATTGCCTAAATGATCAATGTTAATACTGGAAACTTCCTTTGCTGTAGTTTACACCAATTACTTGGATCTCTGCAGATTTTTCTCTGAGCTCTTTTCTTTTGAAAAGACGCAGGTCAGCAGCCTTGGAGACTGTCTGGGCTCTTCCCAGAAGAGACACAGCATTAGCCGTGATGGCACTGACCTCCCCCACCCCTGCAATTTCTCTCAAACCCCTATCTGGCTTGGGGGGTGGGGGGGAATGACTTCCTCTAGGGATGAGCTGTTAGTTTGGCGTGTCTGCCCGTTTTGCTCGTCAGACTGATACTACAGTAAATGTGCCGATCAGTACCAGTTGTGGGTTTTGTTGTAGAAGCTAGTCAAACCGCACTTGGACTGGGACCGCTAAACTAATTTGATTTAGGAAATGGAGCAGCCAGTTCTTTGGATTACAAAGCCCCTGGGTGGGATCTGAACTGATTTTATAGAGGTGATAGGTTCTGTTTGCTATCCATTCCCACATTGCTTCTGTCGTCACTTACTGATGGCATTAATTGATTCTCATCTTTAGCAGGGCCGGCTCTGGCTTTTTTGCCGCCCCAGGCAAAAAAGCCTCTGGCCGCGCCTCCCCCCACCAGCGCGACAGGGGAGGGCAGCCGGGGCCCCGGGGGGGTGGGGCGGGGGGCGGAGTGCCCGGCTGGGGCTCCGCTCTCCCCGGCGGCCGGGCCCCGGCTGGGGCTCTGCTCTCCCCGGCGGCGAGCCCCGGCTGGGGCTCTGCTCTCCCCGGCGGCGAGCCCCGGCTGGGGC